CTGTTGCAAAATTTATACATATAAAAAAAGGCCTATCTCAACCCTGAGGTCTTTGCATGGTCTTACCACTGTAAATACTTGTTCTGTAAGCAAAATGAACTTGAAGCAAGGTCAAATCACCCCCCCCCCCCATAATGACTAACTTCCAAGAAATAGATCAGTCATGCTATCGTGCAGAAAGGCAACTTGGAAGAGGCTGATGACAAGGTGTCTGCTCAAACCTTTCCCCTTCTTTGCCTCTGTTATCATTTCCCACGGTGTTATTGCCAGAGATGGAACTGCCACATCCAGCCAGAGACTTTATGTGCAGAAAAGAAGGGAGGGGGAAGAAAGGTGGGGCACTTGGTTTCCTTAGGTAGTGTGACCAGGAAAAGGAAAGTCTCTTCCTTTTATACATTCTTTTCTCTTTTTTTGGTGGGGAAGGGGTGGTGGTGGTGGTGGTGAGTGGGGCACTCCAGGAGGTGCCAGGGCTTACTCCTGGCTCTGTACTCAGAATTTACTCCTGGCAGTGCTCAGGAGACCATCCAAGATGCCAGGGATCTAACCTAGGTCAGCCACGTGCAAGCACCCTACCTACTATACTATGACTCTGGCCCCCTTTAGATCTTAACTAATGGATTGGCTGAGCACTGTGCATGGGGGTTCAAGCATGTAAGACAGTAAGACAAAAAAAAACTTGGGGGGGAAGATCTGAATGTTTGAAAGGATTATAGTTCGCATATCCTGCGTCCATTCTTCTGACTTTCCATACAGGGGACTTCTTTAGAGCCATTATCTTTCTAATCTCACTGGACTTATTTTCTTCCCATCCCTCTATCCCTATGTTAATAGTCCAGGGAAGGTAAATAAACTTTGGCCAACAGAGATTTCCATGTCATGCCAAAAAAAAAAAATTTTTTTTTTCAAAATAAAACAGCTTTGTAAAATGGGTTTATATTCGGGATCTATTTTTTAAAACACAGAATGCTGCTGAATTTATTCAATAGATAAAATGTGGTCGGTGCAGGCTCTCTCGTGCTCTCTTGCTCTCTCTCTTTGTCTGTCTCTCTGTCTCTGTCTGTCTCTCCAAGTGTGAGCACTCCTCTGCCCGCTCACCTCTCACCCCACTGTGCCCCTCCCTCTACCAGATGCGTGCTCTCTACCGCCCTCTCCTGGCACCTTCCTCCTGCTCCTCCAGTGCCACCTAGGAAAGGACACAAATTTTTCAGGCTGGATTTAAGAGCCTGCCTCCTTCTCCCCGCCCTCCCCCACCCAACAATCTCTCCAAAGTCACTAAGTCACAACATAGGTAACTGGTGCTGCTAACCCCTCTGACTGCTTCCCAGCTGGCATCCCGTGTGACCGCTCATTGGCAGGCCCCACCCGTGGGGTGGCCTTTGTCCCAAGATGTCAAGGTACCACCATTTTACCCTGTTTGTCTTCTTCACGGGCTGCCTGGCTCTCCCTGGAATTCTATCTGTGATTCTCTCTCTCCCTTCGGACTCTCACTCCCTCCTTTAGTGACATTTCAACTCGCTGGGTTGACATTCTGTTCTCAGTTCCTGGAGGGAAATTTTCCAGTTCCTGGAAGGAAAAGTGACAAACAGGTGTGCTCAAGCTGCCAATTCTCTATCTCTATTCCTTTCTCTCTCTCTCTCTCTCTCTCTCTCTCTCTCTCTCTCTCTCTCTCTCTCACACACACACACACACACACATACACACAATGGGTTTAAAAAACATATCCCCATCTTGGAGCTGGAGTGATAGCACAGCAGGTAGGGCGTTTGTCTTGCACGCAGCCAACATGACCGACACAGGTTCGATTCCCAGCACCCCATATGGTCCCCTGAGCACCGTCAGGAGCAATTCCTGAGTGCATGAGCCAGGAGCAACCCCTGAGCATCGCTGGGTGTGACCCCAAAAGCAAAATAAATAACATATCCCCATCTATAGATCATTCTTGACTTACCTGGGGTGTTGTCCCAAAAGAGCTCCGGACAATATTGCTAAGTCAGCAATGCAATTAATCCACTGAGCCTCCAAAGCATCATGGCTTAGCCCAGCCTCTCTCAGAGGTGCTCGGAACGCGCACATTAGCCTGCAGCTGGCAAAATCGTCCAACACAAAGCCTGTTTTATAATAACGTGTTAAATAGCTCCTGTCGTTTATTGAACACGGTACTGAAAGAGAAGCATCGAGTGCCCTAATTCAAAATGTGAAGCATGCTTTCTACTGAATGCCTATTGCTTTTGTATCATCATAAAGTAGAAAAAAAACCTCAGTCAAACCATTGTAAATCACGGGCCGTCTGCATGTGATTCCAAGTCGGTCGGTTCAATGGAATCATTTTCCTGTGGCGTTTTGCGTCTCACATGTATTGCTCTGATCATGGTGGTCTGAAGCCAATGTGTGTGTGTGTGTGTGGGGGGGTATCTGTTTGGCCCTTTCAGGGAATCTTGTTTTCTTCCCCAATATGATTTCCTTCCCAAGGAAAGGAGATCTCCCTACCACAGGATGTTTTCAGTGGACACAAGTGATCCTTCTTCCTTTTAATTCACCTCCGTGACCGCAGTCCTTGGCTAAGCTACATACCACCACAGTGAACCTCGGGCCAGTGGAATTAGCCCTGGAATGCACTTCCTTGCCCTTCTGGGGGCAAAGAGGAGCGGGCACTGGTTTCTTCTGAGGCCTCTGTCTGTGGCTCCCAGATAGCCGCCTTCTCTGTGTGGCATGACACGGCCAAATCTCTGTGTGTATCTGCGTTTTAATCTCCTTTCCGCGTAAGAACCCCAGCTGTATCAGATTAGGGTTCGCCTGAGTGACCTCATTTGAACCCAGTGACCTCTTTTAAGACCTCGTCTCCATTCACAGACGTGTTCTTATTCCTGGGATTTTAACACTAAGGTTACGGGGGGAGGGGGGCGGGACAGAGTGGGTTTCCCAAAGCCCACCTAGAATCACTCATGGCTGGTCAGCCATGGAGCTGGAGAGGGGTCACAAAGGTCCGGTGAGTGCCAGGTCCAAATCAAGAGGCAGAAAACTCATGTGCCATGTGCCTTGCCCCCAGGAGCTGTCAGCTCAGGTATGGGGGCTAGGGTACCTGCAGGGAAGGCAGAGCCGGCCTTTGAGACTCTTTGCTCAACAGTGTGTGTGTGTGTGTGTGTGTGTGTGAGAGAGAGAGAGAGAGAGAGAGAGAGAGAGAGAGAGAGAGAGAGAGAGAGACGTGCAGGAGTAGAGAGGAAATGCAGTTGGGCTGGGCACAGGGAGAGTCTTGTACTAGTCACCATTTGCCCGTACCCTTTGCAGAGCTGGTGGATCCTTAAATCCCACTTCCGGGGCTGTGGTGAGAAGTCTCGCTTCTTCTCCCGTTGGAGGTGAAGTCAGTTCACACTCTCCAAGAATTCAGAAGGCAGCTCTCCGAAGGACAGCGAGGATCTGGAGGGGGAAGAGAGTTTGGAGAGCTGAGAGAGAGGGTTAAAGGAGCAAAGGCCTGGGAATGGGTACTGGTAAGAAGCACCCCAGGCCCCAGGTGACAGAGAAGGGCCCCAGGGCAAGGCCAGAACGAAGATGGCCCTTCCAGCACCCTTGATGCTGCTGTGTCTCCAACACACACAGTTCTTCCACCTCTCCGACCAAAGGCAGGTCTCAAGTATTCCACAAACTCCCTCCTTCTCTGGAAAGGTGGTGTGCGCCCACCTCTGAGACACCCATTCATTCACTCATTAAAATCCTTAATTCATTCCATCTCTCCTTTACTCACTCAACATCCATCCATCCATCATCATTCACCATCCACACACATCCATTCACTTATTCATTCACCATTCATTCACTGTGTTCATTCACTCAACATTTATCTATCAATTCAGTAATGCACCCGCCCCACATAGCCACGCGTTTGCTTGTGTATTCATCCACTGACTTGCCCACCCAGCCACCGGTTCCTTACGTTCCTTCACTCCTTCATTTACTCGTTCACCTTCCATGGGTTCACTATGTTCACTCATTCACTCACTCCGCGGCACATTCACTAATTCACGACGCACACACATCCACTCATGTACCCACCCAGCTCCCCCACCCTGTTCCATTCATTCGCTCCTTTCTTTTTCTCCCTGGCCAACCACCTGTTCGGTCTATTCCCTCCCTCCCTCACTCCTCCGCCCGCTCACACACTCAGCCCTCTCTTCATTCACTTCTCGGCCCAGCCATCCAACCTTTCCGTTGCTTCAGCCCCCGCTCAGCACCCGGCCACTCATTCATTCATTCATTCATTCTCCCACCACTCCTCCACTCATTCACTCTCTTGTCCCTTCACTCATTCATTCTTTCCGCAGCCCCGTCCGGGCCTGTGCGGGGACAGAGGTGCCCCCTGGCGGCGCGCACAAACACACACTCATATGCACACTCACGCGTGTGCACACACACACTCACATATACCCACTCACGCGCGCGCACCCACCCTCACGCGCGCACACGCACACCCTCACGCGCGCGCGCCCCCACGCTCGCGCGCGTGCCTACGCGCACCCTCAGGCGCGCACACGCGCACACTCACGCGCGCGCAGGGCGGCGGGCGCGGGGCCGGGCGGGCGGGCGGGCGGGCGCCCGGGGCTCGGCCGTCCCCGCCTCGCATCCGTGCCATCGGCGCTCGATTGCGCGCGGCCGCGGCGGCGGGCTCGTCGCTCGCTCGCTCGCTCGCTCGCTGCTGGCTCGCTGGGCCGCGCCGGCCGCCCCGCCCCCGGCCCTCCTCCTCCGCGGCGCCCGCCCCTCCTCCGCCGCCGCCCGCCCGGGCAACTTTTGCCGGAGCCCCCAGCCCCGCGCGCACAGCCATGCGGAGCTGAGCTCGGGCCGGCGACTGGCCGCCGCTGCCCGCCCGGCTCCCGCCGCCCCCCGCGCCCACCCGCTCGGCCCGCGTGCGCGCGCGCGCGCGCTCGGCCGGCCGGCCCGGACGCCCCGGCCGCCCCGCGCCCGCGCCAGCGCCCCGGGCCCGCGGCGGCCCCCCGCCCCGGCGCCGGCCCCGCCAGGCGGGGATGCGGGCGCCCGCGGCCCCGGCCGCGCCGCCCGCCCAGACACAGGCGCAAGATGGCAGATGCCGACTGAGGCGGGGGGGGCCCGAGCTCGCGCGCCGCCGGCCCGGCGCCGTTGCCATGAACCGCGGACAGCCCGGCCCCGATGGCCCCCGTGCGCGAAGGTAAGCGCCGCGCCCCCGCAGCTTTGTTCTGGCCGCCGCCCCCGGCCCCGGCCCGGGCCCCCGCCGCGCGCGCGAGCCGGGCTCGCTCGGGATCTTATTTCCAGGGTGGAGGGGAGAGGCGGGGGTGGGGGGCGTGTGTGTGTGTGTGCGCGCGCGCGCGTGTGTGCGCGCGTGTGTGTGTGCGCGCGCGCGCGAGGGGGAGCCGCTGCCCGAAGAAAAGAAATGGGGAGGGGGCCGCCCGCCGAAGGCCGATCGCGGAGGGCGCTGTGGATTTGTTGGCGAGACCGAAAGGTGAGGCGCTCCCCGGCCCCCCCCCCCGCCCCGCCCCGCCCCCCACCCAGGAAATTACCTCTCGGCGCCCCGAGCGTCCGCGCACACCTCCCCCTTGGCATCGGTCTGCACTCCCACCCCACACCCCCTTTATTCTTCGCCAGCTTGGCCCGCGTCGTGGGGGGGGGGGTTGGTGGTGCTGGTGCTGGTGGTGGTTGGGGTGGGGGGCCGGGGCGGGGGGGCTGTGGCCTGGGAATGGATGGGGTTAGGTGCCGCGAGATGGGAAAAGTCCATCTCAGAACAATGAAATCAGGCGAAAATCGCCCCGCATTAGCGTTGTGTCTCGGGGGAGACGTAGTTTGGGGTTTCAAGTCCGGGAGGCGGCCACGCCGATTTTTTTTTCTCTCTCTCTCTTTCCTGGCTCCGTCCTAGTAAAACCTGCTCGGGGCACCCCTCACTTAGCGTTGGATCATTTCCTCCCTCTCCTACTCCCCCCCTCCCTCTTCTCCCTGTTCTTGATATGACTATCTTCAGGAAGAAAGAAGGTGAGATCCAGCGGGAGTGTTCAAAGGGGGGAAAAAAAGGAAACAAGAAAAAGAATATATATATATATATAGCTGTACATTCTCTTCGCACAACCGGCTTCTTCTCACTCTCTTTGGCTTCTTCCTGAGCGCTGCTGTCAGCTTCCAGCCAGAAACCCAACCAAGATCAACTGAAGTTTCTACACTTTCGGGCTGGTTTTTAGTGTGGCTGGTAGGAGGAGAAATTTTTAAACCCAAAGTGTGCTTGATCTCCCCCCCCCACACACCCCCCTCTTTCCAGTCATTTCATCGTGAAAATGTTTTTCTCATGAAATCATTGAAACAGCAGTCTTCACATACTTTTTCTTCGCGACCGTCCTTCTGGGTTTCCTTTGGTTTTGTTCAGATGTTCTGTGGCTGACACTGCCAAGTGGGAGCCCAGTGAGGGGGTTTGTGTTGGGCCCGGAGCGGGGGAGGGTCGGAGGGGGCGATTTTAATCCTTCTGTAAATGTGGGCCACCGGGGTGAGGCAGGAATGCATTAATAGTTTTATCTCTGTTACAAGAGGCTGATTAAAACACACACACACACACACACACACACACACACACACACACACAAACTTATCTGAAAAGAAAATCTGTTATTAGTTCCAGGGCTCCAAATGAATTAGGTTTCTGCGTGGAATAAAGTTACCAGTTAGGCCCTGGATAAGGGGACTGTAAATAACGTATGGACTGTAAATATTTTTTTTCAGGCCCTCTTAGAAACAAAGGGTCTGTTTAGAAGGCAACAGAGAGATGTTATTCCAGGGGCTTTCCTCTTTGATTCTGAAGAACACAAGGTCCATTTAAACCGTTCGACAAAACAAAAACGAAATTTCTGATCCGGCCAGCGGGCAGCATAGAAGAAGCCGGTGGCTATTGGAATAGGCCCGGAGAACCCCATGTCGGCGTTCATTGTTCGTCTGTGTCTCGGGGAGGGAGGGGGCGGCCGGCAATGCGCCCACTGTCTCCGGGAGTGTTAAAATGAAACAATTTTCTCTTTATTAAGTACTTCCTTGAGACTCCCTCTGCTGGGCACTCTGGGGGAGCGTTTGACAGGGAACTTGGCTTTGGCTTCAGAACAGGAGTCCCGGCTGTTGGACAGGGTGCTGTCTGTGTGGTTTCGGGATGTATTTGGTTAACTTTCGTCCCATTGGGGCACGGCGCGGTTGTCCGCCTATCCCCCCCCCAACCCCCCCAAATCCAAATGGAAGCTCAGAACTGGCCCTTCCCTGGTGTGTCTCCCCCCCCCTCCCCCCCCCCCCCGTAGTGTTCTTTTAGTGCAATTACATCTGATAAAGATGCAGGGTGTGGGAGCTGTCAGGGTTGAAGAACGAGCTCCGAATCTCAAAGGTCTCACTCAGAGACCTGCTGTTATTCGCGAGCCTTCCTCCCCCTCCCCGGGGGTAGGGGGCTTCTGGTCCCCTCTTTCCACCCTGGCTTTCCCTCCGTCCTGTGTGGGGGCTCTCTTCATCATTCCCAGGCTTGGGGCGCCTCTTGCCCCCCGATTCTGCTAGTGCCTCCGTTTGCACCTTTCTAGCCCCTCCAGGCCCTCCCCGCGCGGCCAGTTGAGCCTAGGTGTGAGTCTTCCGGGAAGAGAGGGTTGGTCCTGCTCTCAAACCAACAGGTGACCTCTGGGAAGCTGCTTTCGCTCACCGGGACAAAGCGGCACTCAGGAGACAGTGCTCCCCCCACCCAGGGCTGATTCCATGGATCTGAGCTTTCTCACACCCCAGCTAGGACCCACAGAGAGTCCCTGGGCCGGGCTTTCCCGGGGAGTTCTCCACGAGGCCTCGATTGTCATCTTTGAACATCTTCCAAAGCGAACTTGGGCTTCTCAGGAGAAGTCCAGCGAGAGGTGAGTGAGGTGGTTGAGGCAGTGTAGCCAGAGGCCAGCAGCGCCCTCCTTCCTTCAAGTGAGCGCAGCGGTCCCGGTTGGAATCTTGGGTGAGAGTCCAGATGAAGTCGTGGAACATTCTGAGCTGCCAAGCAGTTTCGAGAGAAATACGGTCTGTGAAATAGGGTCTGTGTGCTATTACGAATTAATGAGTAGCAAAGTGTAATCAGTGTTCCCCTGACTTGTTTTTAGCGATAGGTTTATAAATAGCATGTTAGTTTTCGGTGGTGTGTGGTACTGATTAAATTAAAAAAAAAACTTTTCTAAAAAAAAAAAAGATTGCTATCCTCTGCAAGGTTGAATATCCATACCCATGGCTATGTGATGCTTCTTCAGCCTGTGGTGTGAAGGCTAACCGCCAAGGTCGGTATTGTCCCGGCTTCTGAATGAGAGCCTCTCCCCGCCCCCCCATTTCAGGTTCATTGGGTTCTACTGTCCCCACGAGGTGCCATGGCCCTGGCCCTGGCACCCACTGCCAGCCTTACCAAAATTGTCTCACTGAAATCTGTCATCCCTGTGGCCCGCGGCCTCTCTCCAAGCTGCTACCAAGAACTGGAGTGTGTGTCATCTTCCATTAAAAGAATTTGATGACACATGTTCTAGAACATCTTTCCCTATGTTTATGTTTTATATTTTTAAAACGAGTAAGTATAAATATTGTTTTCGTGCTCGTCCTCTTGGGTGAATCAGGGCTCGTCCTTCTCATCCCCGGAGTCTGGGCCCTTGTGGCACCGTCCAGTCCACGGGTCGGGGGGCAGCTGGGGGTTGGCTCCAGCTCAGGGCCGGGCCGCTTGACTTCCCTGGACCCCGACCTCAGTTTCCCTGCCTGGTGGGCTGGCGTGAGGACTCCATTAGATTAGGAGAGCCCAGCTCTGCTAAAACGCTGGCTGTGGGAGGCATTTTCTCCGTCCCTGTTAAACGCTTCTGTCTTTTGAGCTCCTTATAGGCATGAAGACTCCAGGGAAAGCCTAACCCACAAATAGTTTAGAAAAACCAATAATAGCAACATTTCAATTATTAATCTCCTGCTAGTCTTTTTCCAGTCGGGGCACCAGCCACAATGAACCCCCCGCGGCCCCGGAAGAAAGAGCCCCTTCTGACCCCCCCTCCTTGACCTTCCCAGCGCCTTTCTTCTCTCTGTGCTTCTGCTGGGCCCAGGTAGGGGACTGTGCGGCTTCCTGCTTCCTCTGCTCCAGGGGCGCCGGCTCTGCCGCTTTAAAAAATGAGTCCATGAGCTGCTGGAAGAGTTTCCAGGGCCGCTGCTGGGCCTCTCTGCACAGCTCCCCGAGGTGCCAACTGATAACCTTTGTCCTCGGCCAGGATCCACCTCTCACCCAGCTCCGGGCCCCAAGAGGGCCCCCCCGCCATCCCCTGCCGGGGTTGACTCCCACCCCACGTGGCAGCACTGGATGGTGGTGCCTGCACTCCTGTGGGTTCAGCCACGCCCCCCTCCTCCCCTTCCTCCCCCGGAGCCTGACCTTGGGGAGCCCCCTCCAAGGTTTTTCTGGAACCTGGGGGTGATGAGCAGCAAGTCCTGCCCGGGAGGCGGCTAGCGCCCTGGTGTGGACTCAAACCCCACATAGAAGGACCACATGTCAACATGCTGACTCTGTGCGCGCGCGCGCGCGTGCGTGCGTGCGTGCGTGCGTGTGTGTGTGTGTGTGTGTGTGTGTGTGTTTTGGGGGGCGCACAGGGGAGGGGATGGAGATCCTGAAGCAGAGAAGGGTCTTTGAACCTGTTGTTTGTGGAGTCCCCAGTGACTTGCTGAAGCACCCCCCTACCTTTGGCCGGCACAGTCCCCCTCCCTGAGGGCCATGCTGTAAGGCCCCGTCCAGCATGGCCCAGGCATGATTCCAGGTGCCCCTTTTCGGAGCTCCCGTTCCTCAAGGCCTTCTGGGGCCACCGGAGCTGAAAGCCAGGGCACTTGGCTGATCGGACCCGGTTCAGACGCAAAGGAATCCTCTGGGCGGGTGCTGCTGGGCCCTCATTCGTCCACGCAGCCATTCCCTCCAGGGTGGAAGGAGGACCATGACCCCCTTGTCTAAAGAAACGTCTTCCCTCTGTGGGATCCCCAAAGTGTGTTTCTGGAGGACTCTGACACAGCCCCTCGTTCTTCCGTCTCACACCCTCACCAGTGCACCTCTGGTTTCTCCATTTGGGGACTTGGCCTCGCGGGCATGGACCTCACCTCCCAGGCCAGCAGAGCGACCCTCGCCAGCTTTGCTGCTTGGCCAAGGCCTTGGACTCCTGGGAGTTTTGTGGCCGG